AAAATATATCAAAAACTGCACAATGAAAATCTCTTTCTATCAGACAAAACGGTGAAAATGTAGTTGGAGGGGGGCCACTATTCCGAAGGTAAGTATATCAAGGATTGAACTCAGCAGGGAGGGGTAGTCTACTTACCGTGGGACTTTGAATGGAGACCCAGATAAATCGATGGAGTTTTGAATGCTATTTACGAAAATGGAAATTAAAACTGCTAAATGGTTTTCCTTAAAAAGTTAGGGGGCTGGAAATTTGCTTGACAGTAGTATTATTTGGATATGCGAACTCGTCGCTGCGATATCAAGTGCCGACGTGGCATAGTGGTGGTGGTCTCGCTTCATAGGCGTACGGCGCGGGTTTGCTCCCCGCCGTCGTCGGCGTTTTTGCAAAGTGTTTTTTCACTTCATTAAAGACTCCCTAAATCTTTTCTGACATTTGTTCAGGTGAAATCCTTATTTCTGCTTTCATTTTCACTCGTCACCCCTGTCCATGGAAAGTGGTTCTGCACGTCAATTGTACGACTCTGTTTTATTTTGCTTCAAAAAGCATATCCAAATCATACTACTGTCAAGCAAATTTCCAGCCCCCCTAACTTTTTAAGGAAAACCATTTAGCAGTTTTCATTTCCATTTTCGTAAATAGCATTCAAAACTCTATCGATTTATCTGGATCTCCATTCAAAGTCCCACGGTAAGTAGACTACCCCTCCCTGCTGAGTTCAATCCTTGATATACTTACCTTCGGAATAGTGGCCCCCCTCCAACTACATTTTCACCGTTTTGTCTGATAGAAAGAGATTTTCATTGTGCAGTTTTTGATATATTTTTGTCTATGTCTACTTTGTTTCTTTGGTTCAAAGAAGAAGCCCAGGAAATGCTTGAACGAAACTTTCGAATGCGAGCTTGCACGTGGCACGACTTCAAGCAAGGAAAATCGGCTGCTGAATCTTATCGTGCCATATTCGGCGAAGAAGCCCTGTGAGAAAGCCAGTGTCGGAAATGGTCCCAGTGTTTCAAAAAAGATAATGAAGGCTTGGAGGACAAAGATCATGAAAGTCGGCCTCGAGTCGTCGATAACCAAGTGATTAAGTCGTCACTGAAATGGATCCATGCCAAACCACTCGAGAACTGGCAACATATTTTAGCTACTCAAACTCTACCCTCCAAGAACATTTGCTGGCCATTTGCAAGACGGACAGGTGCGGGAAATGAGTGCCGCATCAGCTGAGCGACACCGTACCGGTACCGACAATCACTTCAGAAAAAAATTGAGGAATTCGGTTGGGAAAGTCCTTCTTCATCCGCCATACAGCCAGAACTGGCACCATCCGCCTACCATCTGTTCCGGTCGATGCAGAACCGAGAGAAAGTCCACAAACCGCGAAGAAGTCCAACTAAATGTCCTACGACTTTGAGTCACAGCCGGCCGAGTTCTTAGAAAGAAGAATCCATTCTTCGCGTAAACCTTGGCAACAAGCCATTGATAGTAATGGAGATTATTTTTTGAATTGATATTGACTGATTCAGTTTTTATAATAAAATTTTCTGAACTCAAACGGGAATTCCTTTCCGAACAACTCATAGTAGAGTAAATGAAGAGAGCTACCTTCCAGATCCAGCTCTCGTTCTCTTATTGAAGCAAATCGAGTTATAGTTTATTAAAATGTTATCGAAGTGTGAGTGTGAATGAAGCAAACTAACCTTCCAGGTTTATCAACGGACTCATCTTCACTCGAGAACAGTTCACCACCAATAGCAGAGTCAAACAAAGATCGTGGTTCATGGCTGAAAGTTTGAATTGTAGGTAAGGGATAAAGATGTTAACATCAATATTGGGTTGTTCGAAAAGTTTCCGCCGATTTTCGATTCATATTTGAATGAAGATTCCTAGAAGAAGAAATCCATTGATTGAACAATATATCCTCCATTCTGTTCAGTAAGGGTTCGCCATCTTCCTGTAAGTTTTAGTAGCCCACTTTCATAGAAGGTTCCAGACTTAAAATCAAAAAACCTTCTCAGGTGCTTTTTGCAGTCCTCCAGCGGCCGGACTATATGGGGGGGGGGGGGGGGGGGGGAGGTGTGGTATGACATCCCACCCGAGCTTTAGCAATTTTTGACGAGTGGCCAAAAATACGTGTGGTCTGGAGGTACCCTGTTGAAAGATTACACTCTCACGATTGGCCAGTTCGGGTCACTTCTGGTCTATCGCTGCCTTCAAATATGCAAGCTATAGCAACTTTCCGAAGTCGTCGTTTGACTGTGCGACAACAGCTCATAGTTAGTGATTTCTCTGGAATCCCACCAGCAGCTCGGCATAGTCTTCCGCACCTGTTTTTGACTTTTGCAGCGGTTTGTGACGGCTCACTAGGAAAGCTCCACGATCGTTTCTGCTCCTCATTGTTGTACACAATCCAATTTTCGTCATCCGTGCTCATGCGTTGCAGAAACAGCACACTTTTCCTTCGTTTGAGCCACGAGTTGCACATGGAGGCACGGTCTATCACATTGCGCTTGCTCATTTGCGAGATATCCAAACATCAAGGCGCATTACGAAAATAAGTTTCTGCAGATGACCAAGATGGTTGCTTTCGAAACACTAAGCCCTTATCCTACTCCACGAGTATTGATGTGCCGATTCGCTTCGGTTCACATTTTGATTTGGTCGTTTTAACTGATGATAATCTTCCTGAGGGTTGCCGGTCTTTGATGGTAACTTCACTCTGATTAATATAGAGGAGGACCTACTCTTTCATAAAACCTATAGCTTTATGAGGTAGGGTCTTCGATCTTTTGTACAACAGTTGATGAATCCGGGGTGTCGAAAATTGGCGGAGACTTTTCGGACAACTCAATAAGTCAAGCAACTTTGGTTCAGAATCGAATGCATGTGTAGCCTATGCTATGAAACTCACAGACCGTGAGGTCTATAAACCAGCACTTTTATGAGCGTTAAAAAGGGAAATGCAAGCTTCGTTCATAATAGCAGTTCGGTTGGATTTGATAAAGAAATGTCTGATTGGAGCTAGAAAAGCCGAGTGATTAGAGGTTTGTGCTGAGCTCTACCTTCAGAACAGTGCGATAAAACAACAACAACAACAAGAACAAAAACCATGCTTTGCAAAAACTCGCAAAAGAGTCGTCAAGTTATCGCGTATGGGTCAGCCGTAATTCAAGAGGAGGACAGAATCCATGCCCAAGCTGTAGAGTCAACGTGCACAGAGCTGCTAAAGCGTAGCGGAAACAAGTTCAAAAATACCGCTTTCAAAATTTCAGACTGCTTCGAACGTTATCAACAGGGAGATCTTTCTTGATCAGGGACATGATCAAGTTAGAGCTTCCTCACGTTAACGATCGCCGCAGCTTTAGGACAGTGCTTTGTAAGACACGTGGTGTTAGGAAGAAATTTCTCAGATCTTTTTGGAGCTGTTTTACCTGTGCTTCGATCGAGTGCTTCGCGAGAAGCCGCTGTCGGTCATCTCATTCGACTCCAGTTTAAGATGTGATGTTGATGGCTTCTGCTGTGTGAGATCCCACAACCTTAAAATTACTCTATACGGGTTCTGTGAGCGGGCAATTCAGGATCAGTGTCTCGCCTTGACTAGACTGTCCAATTAATCATGAAACGTAAACTCATGAGCCAAGACATTCAAGATGGATATCCGTTGTAAGTATTAGGTTGGCAAAGTTCTGCGACAAAAATTGAAACCATTTTGATTTCATTGCTAAAATTTCCTAGACAAATCAAATTTTGTAAATATATAAATTGAAGAGACCAACAGCGTTCTCTTATCCTTTGAGCGAATCCTGATGCCTTCTGTGTAGATTTCAAGAAGCTGTGATTCAAAGAAATCGTTGACTGCCGTATTCAGATCATGTTGAAATACGAACTTTTTTCCCTAAGGAGACGCTCGAGAAGGCCGAGCACAAGGTCATGAAAAGGGACAATGGTACAGATGTACCTCTGATGAACAACCTCAAACGAAGAGAGTCGGGTGGAATTTTGACAGACGTTTAAAGCAAAATTTCGACGTGCTCTGTCCTACTGTAGGGGCAAAAAACATGGTTTCGGACGCCTTTCTTTTGACGAGCTGACCAAATGGTGGGGTTCATCGGGCTATGGGCCAGCTCTGACTATGTAATCTACGCTTGGCAACTCTGAGTGAATAGGTTCTTTCAACCTCTACGAGAAAGGAACGATGCTTGCGTTTCTTCGATGGCTAGCATCTCTCGTACTGAAAGATCTAACCGATTGTTGACCGTTGATCGGTGAGCAGCGCTAACATACAATAGGTTACTGATAATAAGCCACTACACCCGAGTTTCTCTCTTGGAATGCCTAGTAGGAGCTGATGGTGCGAATCGGGTTATGTTCGTTTGTCGCCAGTAATGCTGCGGAGACCTACAGAGTCTTTGTTTACCTTTGATCGCCATGGAAATGTTTTAAAAGTTTATCAACTTTGCTTCCGTGTCCACATTGTTTATGAAAGTTTTGAATGCTTCCAAATTTTTTGCCGCAGAACTTCCTTGCCAACCCCATACAAATATGTATGGCTGCTTTCATAGTCCGCCGGCCGGCGGACTATGAAAGCAGCCTATCACACCCTATTCTGGGAATTCTTATAAAGTCTAGAAAATCTTCGATCTAGCGAATCATTTAATCTTTTGGGTATATGAACTATTAACTCGTGATTTGGTATAGGCGAGCTTTTTCTAATATGCTTCTGTGTAATGTAGTTTTCAAATGAAGCAGTGCTTCCTAATCCAAAAGAATCGCCTGGACCAGTTACTCACACAGTTCTTTACGAGAAATGAATAGTATACCAAGGGTAAACTTTTAGAACAAATATGGAACTATCGAAGCTCACCCCTTTGGACCCATGACCCTAGTCAATTGCTTCCTGAGCTCTCGAAGATTGGATCTTGTGCTGATAACTGAATCACAGTCTGACCCCAGTTCGCTGCTGCAAGGAGATGTTAAAAATACTCAATTATATGTAGATAATCCTTGAAACCATTGTTACCACTGAAATTACCAAGTCAAAGAAAGCTTAACTAGTGCTCACCTAGCTACAATAACGCTTTCGTACATATATTTGCTGTCGGTAAGACATCTCTGCAAGATCTCCTCGTGATTGGGGTCATCACTTTCAGCTGATTGGGCGTACAACGCTTCTTCTACTTCTGGCGGTTCTACCGCAGATGACATTGACAGAACCTAAGGAAGTTGTAAAAAATAGACTCGTAGAAATCAAATTGAAACAATGATAGGCGCTAAAACACTCGTTTATTTGTAACCTGTCTTTCAGCGCAGGCTGTGAACACTATAAACTTTCTAGAAAGTTGCAAAGTCCCCGCAAATCTTCTTCAAGAAGCCTTTGAACATGACATGGATATTTAGGTAATGTCTCATTTTATTTCGTTAATTCAGATACATTTGACTTCCTTCCGCTTTCGGCACTGGTTGTGAGTCACTCGGTGCTCTTCATAAAATTGTCTCAAAGCTAAGGAGATTAAATGTCTCCGCAGGATATTTTCACACTTCTCATTAAGAAGAGCGAAGCCGACTCTCAGCTTTTCCAAGATTATCCCTCTCGATTCTAGGGCACAACAGAAGAACTGTACACTTTGCACTATGGTTTAGAGACATAGCAAATCTGTGCAGCTCCTTTACTACACGAGCACGAGTCGGAAAACCAGCATCAAGCCTCGTTTAGGGATGTGCAAGATTCCACTCATTTTGAAACGAAGTTGCGAATTTCGTCCAAAAACCTTATCCCCTACCCGAATCGTGTGGACGAGTGAACGACCATGGCCAAAGAATTTGATTCAAATTGAGACTCCTAAAGTGGGTCGCGTACAGGGAAGTGCCGAGAGATCGCTGGTCTAACAAGGCGCAGGAACATCCTAGCCCTATGGATTCAGGAGACCTGCTGGAAAGAAGCAAAGGTCGGAGAAATCAGAGAGGGTGGCAAGCTTCTACTGGTGACGGAAATATAACGGAAAAGACATTAGATGAAATGGTGAGGCCATAGCAGTGGCGGAGACCCTCAAAATTGCTGTCTCCGCCGTCGACAGGATCAGTATTCAAATAATGGCTGCGCGAAAAGACATGAAGGAGAGCTATTGGGCAATAATATCCGTGTACACACTACACGCCGGCTGCTCTGAGTGCGAAAAGGATGAGTTTTACGTGATGTCATCAGATCAGTTCCGGAAGCGAATTATTTCACCCTAGCGGGTGATTGGATGGGCATGTCGACAGTGGACCGAGGGACAAGAAAGGGTACTCGATTAAGCTGTAGCCCATGGCTTGACAGTCTGCAGCACCTTCTTCGCGAAAACGAAAAATCGGACGATTAGTTGCAGCAGTGGAGGGAAAGAAACGGGATAGGACTATGTGCTCGCAAGAAGATCTCTCAGAACTGTAGATAATATCAAGGGGCTGTCTGGCGAAGAATGTGTTTCGCAGATAAGGCTTCCTCCCACATAACTTCGGGCTTGCAAGAAATCAAGGACTAGAACGTCGCGGAGGTGAAAGCTACACCAAGCCAAGCGAGTGCTGTCCCGTAAATAAAAATCATGAAAGGCAGCTTCACTCCGCGAGATGCGTATACTCAGATGACCCTGCGGTTGGACACGGCAGGATCGGATCAGAAATGATGATAACAGGGCGTTCATGCAAACAGCCCTGTCCTGCTGGATGAGACAGCAGCGTTTACGATGGTTAGGACACGTACTGAAAAACCCACCGAATCATTCAATAAAGGAGGCAATTGAGTCCGAGGCTCATAGACACGAGGAGCCCCAAAAAAGACATGGCGGACGTGATCAAGAAGGACCTCACTGGTGCTGAAGTAACGGCAGATGTCGTAGGCAGAAGGAAGTGGAGACGACTGACAAAAGTGGTGGACCCTACGAAGGCAAAGAATTAACGCTGGGGAGAAGAAGAAGCGGACTATAGCTTGAATGACTCAAGTTTAAAGGCCTGTAATTTGTTTGTGAAGAGGGAACCTGAATTGTCCGCTTAAACACGTGAAGTAAAGCCCGGATTCCATAGCTCAATTATAGCTGTTAGCGCAGCGAGGCAATGCCAAGAACAGAGGAAACGGAGACGACATTCGGTTGGATTAACCGCTTGGATATCTTGACCACTTGGTCTGACTCGAACCATCACGAGCTCAAGCTAATTTCTTCTTTGAATGAGTTACCATTTTATTCAGATCCAATTTTAGCCAGCACTGACTATCACTGGCTTTGCAGCGACCTGACTACCTCCATGTCTTCCCTTTCCAGCGGAAATTCTCAGCTCTGCAATTTAGCTCCTTACTGATTTACTGCTCGGTTCTATTTCCCACAAAGTCATTAACAATACTCTGTTCGGACCATTGTCAAATCAGATATCGTTGCTTTGAACGTTTTCGATTTCTCTTTCGTCCTCCTTTCTATCTCTTCTGGGCTCTGGATGGATTGTATTTCCTCAGAATATAGCCATTTCCACCTTATATTAGTTTTCGACTGTAATTTTTTCCTGCGCATTGAAACTCTGAATTATTCCGTGATAATTGTTTGGACATGCTACTCATTTCACGAGTATGATAAGATGTTATCACTTTACGACAAAGCTTAAACAATGCTGCACTGAAGCTTGTACATCAGTTTGTCTGCTACCCCGAATGAACCGGTATCCTTATCCTTACTATATATAAACCACATCCTTGGTGTGTCTGTTTGTTTGTCTGTTTGTCTGTTTATCGTCGCAAATTACAGTATCATCTGACGAAGCAACTGTAGAAATCGGGTCGAGTTTGGAATGGGTCGAGCATAGGGCAGGACCAACAGAGCACACGTGAGCTCAGCGGAGCTCCGCCCCCAAAGGGCGTGGCGTGCGCCGGGATTGGGCGAGGCCATGGGCGAATTCTTCTACTTCGGTCTCATAACATTCCAGACACCGGAAAAAATGTGCAAAGGTGAGGGATAGGACAAAAATCAAAATGAAGGAAATTTGCCGGTGGCGGGCGAAGCGTTCTCGCAGTGGGCGGTGCTTTCCACAGAGATTCATAACTCGATTCAACGAAGGCGTCGAGGCCAGGAAAAAACGTAAAAAGAGTGAGCAAGGCCTTATGCGTGCTGGGCACGCGCAAGTACAGCGAAGCCCCGCCCACGAGGGGCGGGCGTGCGTTGAGGTGAAAGCTACTTATCAAAAATGAGTGTAACTTCGTTCGGAAACGTTCTAGAATGCGGAAAAAAAGTGAATAGAGGTAGTGGAACAAATGCGGTCAAATCCCAGAAGTGGGCGGGGTTGGCACTAAATTGGGTGGGGCTTAGATCGAAAACTTATAGCTCTACTGAAAAACGTTCTGGGATGCAGCAAAAAGGTATTGAGGTGTAAAAGAACAAGTGTGGTCAAGCCCCAGAAGTAGGCGGGGTTGGCACTAAAGTGGGCGGGGCTTAGATCAAAAATTTATAACTCTATTCAGAAACGTTCTGTGATGCGGGAAAACAGCGGTATGATGTAGTAGAATAAATGTGGTCAGATTCCATAACGGACCTACAGAAGTTGCAAAAAGTTACGCGAGCCAACCGTGGCAAAGACTATGCTAATGCAAGCATTGTATGAGCAAGTCAACAAACAAGAACGCAGAATTTCGGGTGCCGGCTACACAAAGCTGACACCAAAGCTTCAAGAGGATGAGTTCAATGGGACAGTGAAGAACAACTATGATACCATTTCGAGGAAAACAGGAGATGACATGAGGCGAGAAAACCATTTCGACAAGCTTCTTAAGAGAGCACTCATCCGGAAGCAAACAAAGGCGACGGCTGGTAATATCGCACACTGGACAGGAAATGAGGTTCGTGGATAAATAGGCGAGGTAGGTTCGGCAGCAGTTGGTCCAGATGGAGTAACAATTGACCCACGGAAAGCACAGAACCAGAAAAGGAACGATTACCGTAAAATTCAGATGACTGCACAAACTGTAGAAATAGATGAGCGTTCGGTCGGTTGGAACTGCATCAATTAACCCTTGAATTGAAAAACTGAAATGGATTCCTTTTATGATAGACAGGTGATATGGAGTATCGAGAGGAGCGCAGACCCCGTTATCCAACCTTTCTTGACCTCAAAGAACCTATTGTGACCAACGCTTTGAAGAATGCCTCGAGAAATTCATCCTAGTAAAATCCGCAAGCAATGAACATTGCACTGTCCTAATAGCAAGCAGGGTGGCGGTCTATGTACCCACCAGTCGGGTCGCACGGTTAACGCCGGGCTTCCCTCATTCTTCTGGCAGAGTTGTGATAACCGGCAATCCGGACGCTTGTTATTTGGAATACCTTTCAAAACACGAATCTGACAGAGGACTAGCAGGGCATGCAACTTGCATTCAAAATGTGCCTATGCTCATGCCTATTATTAGAGCCTGTTGCTGTTCATATTAAAAATAATGGCCCGTTGAAGGTTCAACAGGTACTTACAAATGTTGTCGAGTACCGCTGTCAGATGTGTTCATCAATAAAAGCTCCCATTTTCTGCGGATATAACACTAGATGAGATTGCAAGATTATTAGCGGTCGATAAGTTTTGCCAAAAACGATATCGAAGCAAAACGAAGCCTGATCCTGTCACAGCTTTGTTGGGTAGCGTCGTAATCTAAGAGCAACAAATGAACCGAGTCTTCACCCCTTCATAATATAGTGCCTATCACTGCACTTACCCGTCTTATCGAGTGAGTTATATCAAAGAGGCAAGTAAATAACAAATGCGTTAAGATTTGATTGCTGAATGGTTCTTGCTCTCTGAGGCCTCCTCTATCGTAAGTCTTCTCATCTTGCCTTCTCTACTCCTGCCAATTTTGAACTCTCCAAGTCCACGGGAACAGGAGTTATGAATTTCTGCTCAAACATTCGTCTCGTGGAAACTGCACCCCCTGTGGGCAGTCCAGCCTTGCCACCTACCATAAGTAATCTCATCCTGCCTCTTGCACCCCTAAAAACTTTTAACGCCTTGGGCCAAACTGACAATTTCCGTGTAAACCCTGCCCCCTGTGGGCGGAGAACAGCCCTGCCACCTACCATAAGTGTTCCTATCCTACCTCTTGCACCCCTAAATAGTTGAACGCCTTGGGCTAAGCTGACAATTTTCGGGTAAACCCTGCCCCTTGTGGGCGGAGTCCAGCCCTGCCACCTACCATCAATGTTCCCAACCTGCCTCTTGCACCCTAAAAAGTATGAACACCCTAGGGCCCAATTGACGACTTTGGGCGGAGTCTGATCCTGCCACCCACCATAAGTGTTCCCATCCTGTCGCCTGTACTCCGACCAAGTTTGAACTTTCAGGTCCACGGAGACAGGAGCTATGAGTTTCCGCTCAAACCCCGCCACCTGTGGACGGATTCTGGTGCTGCCACTCACCATAATTGTTCCCATCCCGCCGCCCACACTCCTTCCATCCTTGAACTTTCTAGGTTCACGGGGACAGGAGTTATGATTTTCCAAAATGTTTTCATAAAGCATCGCATTTTTGGAGAACACCCCGCCCATCGGGGCTGGTCTCCCCAGTTGGATCTAAATTACCAATGTCCACCTTTAGTCACCTTTAAACCCCAGTTTTGACGCCGTCTTGTGACTGAATTTGAAATCACGGTCTTCAGTACAGCTCATTTCGATGCACGCCACGCCCACTGTGGGCGAGGCTCCGCCAAGCTGATGTGTGCTTTATACTTCTCGGGGCATGGCCCACCCATCCCACGTATTACCTGGTCCCTCCAGGCAGATCTAAAGGAGCTAAGGAATTTCGTGACAGACATACAGAACGATAGACAGAACGACAGACGAAGCGCTCATAGTAAGTAGGATGAAGGGTCAGAAGATGGGTGCAGATCAACATCTACCGACAGATCCAATATGCGAGCTTTACCCGAGGGAGGTCATGCTTTGCGTTTGGTAGAGCGTACGAGGCTTCCATCACTGCGATCTTCCTCACCATTGACGCACACACAAACCGATCTCGCACCAACCAATTAAACTTCTCGCCTCACTTGCTCACTTCCTGAAGAACAAAAGCTGCTGTGACTGCGAGCACATCGAAAAGGAGCTTTAGTTATGCTTCGCGTCGAAGAGAGCAGAGTTCTGGCAGGAAGGTAACGGGTGTGGGTACATTCGTGCGTCCGGGAATGCACGCGGCAAATTGCGCGGCTAAGTTCATGGCGACTTCAACGACTCTTGCGTCTATCACTGGGCCACAGGTTCAGTAAAGAAGATTAATAGTAATCTACTGTACTGAAAATTTAGGCTCCACCGATAGGCGCTAAAGTCGATCAAATCGCCACGTATTTCGTCGCACAGTTTGCCACGCGCATCTTCGGACGCATCAATGTTCCGTCCCCCAGGTGAGTGATCGCTAGTCAATCAATGGAGGACAGTTGCAGAGAGTCATGGCAAATACTGGAACACATAAAGTTTGTTGTGAATAAAGTTGTGTAATTTTGAATAACAATATCAGAACCAGATGTCACTTCTTACTCAGCTCAATATTCTGCTGAAGAGCTCAACGCAGCTTGGTATTTTGGACTTCAGAACAGTAAACGTGGAGGTAAATAACGACTACCAGATACGAAAAAGATAAAATTGAATTTCTAGGTCGATGCGTATATGTTTTCCCTCATGTTCCATCCGTATTTCGTTTGCATGGATATTGGACTTTAGTCATCTCATGTGTGTGACGTATGCAGGATACTATTTCATCACAGTACTATCACTTAGCCACCTTACATATGCATATGCATAACATATGCATCGACGAACAAGTCAATTATGTGTGGCGAATCACAGACTGATTCCCATGGTTAGAAATAGCCAGAAAGCGGAATTTGAACAAAGCTACAATGTTACTAAAGAGATACTATTTGTTATCTTTTCCGAAAAATTTCAGAGAATTAGAGCAAAAGGATTCGATATTTCACTTTGCGACACTCCTGCTCAGCTTATTAATCGCGTCTGATGGTAAGCGTCACAAGACATACTCAGCATATTAAATACTAACAGATCTTTGTTTCTGAACCTCGTACCTCGTCAAAAACGGTGCTCATATCACCAACAGACGTAGATGGAGCCACTTTCGGTGGTGAACATCGAGTTCGCGAGCCGTTAGACTGACGTTGCGGTGCATCTGCAAATATACTCATAAATTGTAGAAAAGATAATGTAACCGAACTTGATACGATGTGGAAACTATAACCATGAAAATAGAAAATCGAAAAGAAAGAAGAGTACCTGCAATGGCGAACTCATCATCCCAGTCCTGCTGACCCTCCCACACAATTCTCAATGATGCTGAACGGTCAGATATCGATGACGAATGAGGATGTGATTGACTGGAACGGTCTGAAAATGACAACTGAAATTATCACGAAAGATTAATTATCTGTTCAGTAAAGCGTTGTGCATTGGAAAACGGGACATCAGGATGTACTAAGAGAGTCCGAAGGAACTAACTGTAAGAAGATACTCATGATGGTCATAACAACAGAAAAACATGAAGAAAAAAGAGCAGTTGAGTGAATCCATTCCGAAAGCTTGTTCATTCCATAACCATGGGAACCGTCCACTATTTTTTATGGCTTGATAGATAATACAGCTCAGCTGAGCCTCCCTAGGTTGACAGGGAAGAGAGACCGCAAAGTACGTAAACGACGAGTGGAGAAATAGCAATAAAAAATCGATACGTACTTGTTTACAAACAAAAATTGAGATTTTGTAGAGATATCAAACGAAACGGACCAGAAGTGCTCGGCCTTCGCAATACTCCTGACACACCGGCTGCTTTCGGTTGTCGAATTGCCAACAAACCACGTGACCTTCGCGGGTATCGCGACAAACGCTGAAGGGACATCTGAAAACGGTTGAAATTTATAGGAATGGCTACCAACTCGGGCAAAACAACATCATGTTTTGTTTCTCAAGTATAAACAAGGAATTCTACCATGTGGGGACGTGGTGGTCAACTCTTATCCCATGAAAGAACCTGCATACGTCTGTAACTTCCGAGCCTGTTGGTAATCATTTATTGAATGACCATCTGGATATCCCAGCTTCATTGGAAACATCTTCAAGCCAGAAATGATGAAGGCCGTGCCTAACATAATTCACATGGCCAATGTGAAGCGGTGCCAAATGGCAAAGCAACCACACCTGAGGCCCATGAAGCGATGCCCGACCCAATACCCGTTCAAACGAATCAAATTTTCAAACCTGAGAGATTGGTAGGTATTAGATCATAGAAGAGAAAAGTAGATAAAGAACTAAACATTGCCGAAAGCCCGCAACTCATTGTAAGGCTGTGTGAGCATTCAAACATTGGTAAAGTACTGTATGCGAGCGAAAAGGACGGGCGCAACCCAAACATACAGTGAACAACGCACAAAACTCTCCTTTTTATTCATAATAACAATGTTGCTGTAGATTGAGAGAAACCATGTATGGCATGGTAGCGTCAATGATGAGCAATACCGTAGGATACTTACCCGTAAAGAGGGAGAATCATTAGCGCGAATTTTATTCCTGTGCCAATAACTCAACAACCTGTGAAGGCAACCATTGTGGAACATCGAGACAGGTTACACTTACAAATACAATTGTCCGTACGCAAGCTCATGGCTGAACTTAGAACTTTCAGCAGTACTTATACAAACTGATACCATACATATCTCATGCAACCATCGATTTCGTCACAGGCAGGAAATCGTTGTCCGGTGGTGATGGAAGTCGTTAGCTAATTCACGTGACAAATTCTGTATTCTTTCTTTTTGGCGAACGCTCCGGTACGCATCCTTTGTTGCTCTATGAAGCTAGCTTGCTGAACAATCGGGCGGTCATGGGGCCAGCCTCCTCCTCCCTGGTCACGTGGGCACTTGGAGAGGTTTTGGTGAAATGCAAAATGGGGCGTCAATAGAGTTCGAGAACAACGAATAAAGGGACAGAGTGCATCAACATGTTTTCGATTAACTCAGTAATTTGCACTACTACAAGCAGAATGCACCTCGAAATACGACAGAGGCACAAAATTTGAGGGAACTCGAATTTTTCCAAGTTCTATGTACCTGTCGCCCATAGAAGTGCTTTATGAATGAGCAAATTGCTGGGTCACTCAAAAAGTTTCTCGTGAGAGCCAGTTGGAGGGTAATCACACGGGTGGTCCAATGATCGAATACTGGATCTACATATACCGCCTGGCCAATCAAGCCTCCCATCCCACTACGGTTGGTTATTTGGAAGCAGCTCATCCGTAGCTAAGGGTAAAAGCTCTTGTACATTAGCCGGCCTGCGCAGTTTATTGCATAATTCAAATTTGCATTCAAAACGTCCATTTTTGCATTTCTATTCGCAGGAGTGTGATAAGAAATCCGTTCGGAGAACCTGATAGGATTTAAAGTGCGTTTAGCACTGAACATCAGCTTGCTAATCTTCTTCGGTTTTTTTTTCAGCACGGTACAATACCTGTTCTTATCAGAACGGGCACTGATTATACATGTAATGTCGTAAACACGATTAAAGAATTCCTTTTTATCCTACTTTTTCACCGTCTAGCTAGAAAAATCTGCTCAGCAAATCTTCTCGCAAGATTTTCATTATCTTAAATTACATAACTCCATATTACTCGCCTAGTGAGTTAATACTTCACAAGACTGTTTGAGAGGGACTTCCTACAGCATGCTTTGCAAATTTCACCTCAGTGATAGACATAGTCTGGTTTCTTACAGAGCTCTGAAGGAACTCGACACTGCTTGATGGCGTTGGCCGGAAGGTGAAAGGAAAGTAGGCAGGGGATTCGACCATTCCCTCACTTCGAATAGGTCATTCAACTCATGGGGATGAGGTTAATTTTGCGCCAAAGAAGCTGTAAAAAGTACAAAGGAACCGTATTTTTATGAATTTAGGAGAGAAAGCGGACGGAGAGGATTGGGTAAAGAGGAAGGGTGGTACGTAAACTGGTAGAGGGCTAGCAGTTATTACGTTAGCTTTTATGTTTTGCCCAATTTTATATGGATATGCAGATAGAGCAGGATAAATGGAAAAAGGATAAGCTTTGAGAGGTCCACCAATTCCATTTTGGAATGCGCCCGGTGCTCGACTCCCATTCAGGCCGTGGTGGCGGTTTGAACCCGTATCTGGCTCGTATTGGGTTGCCGCAAAGAGAATTGCGGAATAGCACCAATGAACTCAAAACCACATAACTCGGTTAGGCGGATAGGACGGGTGGGGCAGGGCCCCAACATCCAGTTCAGCTAATTTTAGCAAAGTGGTTTCTGAAGTATGGGGTCTTGCGTTGTATTAGAGTAGTATGGGCCCTTTTTAATGAAGAATTTTGTTCGGCAAATTTTGAATGAATCCGATTCGAATACGAATGTGAATACGGTTGCGCTGAGCTGGTTTGTCCTGTTTCAGGAAGCTGTGATGGACAATAGTGCAATTGGACGAACAGACAGATAACATTAGTTTTTTCCGGTGATTTTTCAACTTTGAGAAGCTTGCTGGGGGAGTGCGTGTCTACCCAGCAAATTCATGTATTCTGTTGTCATAGAGTAACCGCTTCTCGTTGACCGCAAATATGCGATCAAGAAAATACTCATTCTTTTGGTGTATAAGCAGATTGTGACAGGCGAAATGCAATGCAATTTGTTGCTCCTCCGTCAATTTATGCGGCACCCACTTCTGCATTTTCTTAACCTTCCCATTTTACTTCGAATGCTTTGCTACTGTTGCACAATGTACTCCTAGTTCATCTCCCACCGCTCTAGTGTTGCTTGTTGAGTTTGTTTCAACAGCAGCTTTTAGAAGTTTGTTATCCAGAGACGACTGGCGATCGCGACCGGCTAAATTTGAGATTTGATTTCATCTCCGGAAGCAAACTTTGATGAGAATCTATGAAGTAAAGTCTTTTCTCGAGCTGTACCCTCTGTTGAGAATTCAGCTCGAGACCGTGAGCTCGGTTGATATTGCGGGTAGCTTCGGCTGCAGAGCGGTTCAATCTGAACTCGGTCTAGAACAGCACGGCGACACGAATATCATGCCTATCCATGTGGGATTCAAGACCATGTAGATACGCAAATATTGATTGATACACTACGAAAGGCTTACGTATTCAAACCAAAGAACAGCTGTTCAATACGATATATGATCGGCTGTATAATCGCCCGAGCACTTGTAGAGAACTCAGCGGGGAATGTTGCGTCACCAAATCTCCAATTATGTCGGCGACAACCTAATATAATGACTTGTCGTGAGCAGACGATAAACAAGCCTCCCAAACGTTAACCTGGTGAATCGGAGGGACCGAAATATTAGTTGGCGAGATCAATGAGGGTTTTGAGACCCGGATAATGTCAATGATCGTACGATATTCAGCAATACACAACCTGTGTTCATTACAAAGGGAACATAAGGTATGGTGAATCATTTCAGTAGGACATTCCACCTTTTCCGAAGTTCTAAAACTTCTTCGTACTCATAATAATCGTTGGAAAAGGTTCATCCTTTCATTGTCAGGAGAAAGAAGTATATTTGAGAATTTGACCCGATTGAAACCATGCGACACCAGTAGGTTACTGTTCCATGACAGCGAAACAACGGTACTATTACTTATCAACTGCTACCAATTATTACAAAGGGCTAATATACATACAAATCAGCCACAGGCACCCTGCTTCTTATTCTTTTTATTTGAAATTCTTTTCAAAGAAGATCCATGTACACAGGATCAACCAGAAAACGAGTTGATCTCAGTTCAGAGCCTTCCTTCTGCCTGATAACGCGAAAACTGATTTAACTCGATTTTTTGTCTAGCAAGTAGGCACGTCCTCTTATTTACCCCCTCTAAGACACAAAGATACCTCTGATCTCCCTTTTTTAAATATCTTAATATGCCCTGATACGACGACGATACGCTTTGTCACAATGTGATAGATGTCTGTCGTAAAACCTCGCCACAATGCGACATTGTTCCCCGGACAATACACCGCCGCTATGCTGTCGACTATCACCACTCGTAATCTTCAAAAGAAGGTGGTTAATGACCGCGTTGAATATCGGTGGGCTATCAACTAACGTAAAGAAAAGTCAGAACTGCTACCTTCGCTGGTCGACTGTGTTCGTGGTTGTGCCAGTAAGTTCCAGAGCGTAAAGGAATGGTGAATCCTTTCCCAGGGTATGCGCCCTGCATTCGACTTCCGTTCAGTATCGTAGAGGCGTTTCATATTGGTACTTGACCAATATAATTTCTTGGGTCAGCAGCCGATGTACAAATCGGTGTAAACCCTCTGAAATGGAAGGTTTGGTGAGCGTGGACGGGTGACGATCAGAGTTCCGTCCCACACCATGCCCTTAATGGTGCGCCACTTGCCACTACATCACCTCCGGCAAAGGAAGGATGAATGTAAAGACTAAAACCGTTCTGATTTTTTTACCTATTACGAAAGGGTCAATATGACTTTGTGCTCTGGTTCCCTATTTGCCTTCTACTTCGCTCTGAATTGTACAACATTTGAGGACAATTTCGAGGGGAAAAGAAGGGCTGAGAGAATATGCGAAGAAGGGCTTTGGACATGTCATAAAATGTTTCAAGCACAGTATCAGAACGCGTTCCACGACCAGCTAAAGTTTCTCTCAGCTTAAGGGAATTGCATATTGTATTGTTTATCGTTGATCCTAGTAGTATGTTTCAGCAGTTCTGTTTGGGCTATCTTCTGTAGACTCCGGTTACCTAATCTGAAGGTGGAAGCCATCTCTCTCCAAAAACTCTTGGCTGACAACATCCCCTGCCACCGGCAGACTTGCACCCAATACGTTTTTTTTTGCAGAGCTTTGCAGAATAGTAAACCCATTCATAAAGTGCTT